TTATTTGTTCCGTTTGTATAAATTTCTGTCCGAACTTTGAATTACAAAGACAAACGGAAAGTTAGATCCCCACWTTTTAGTTTCCTAYGCAAACAAATGCATATTTAAATAAAGAAATATATACTTGTCTACATATATACATATATAACAGGCGTTCCCCTATATTTTTGCATTAATATTCAAGTGTAAACGGTAATAAAATATAGATATAAATGTAGATAGTAAAACAACATAAAATTGTTACTTAATCTTTCTTTCACTTCGCCACCTCYGATATACTCGGACTCGCAATGCCTTTTCATGTTTTGTTTTATKTTGTTGTTGTATTTTTCTGTTGCCTTACAAATCAAATATTACTCAAAGCACTCGCTTTCATTTGCACCTCATTAAACTTTAAGTACACTGCAATGTCCTTACTTCCTGCTTATTGCAGAACTTCCTTGAACTTTCTATTGTACAGGGTGCACACACACACACATTCCACTCTACAAATAGAAAGTAAGTACGTAAGCACTAGTTGAAAGCAAACATTTCGATTGCAGACAATAAACCAACAGACATACACACATCCACATATATGTACATTCATATATAGCTCGGCATAAAGTCAGTTTTGCTTGTAGGTGTGATTCAACATAGGTGAAAATATTCAAAGGCATGTACATATGTACTTATGTGTGAGTATGTAGGTGCAAGTAAGTTAATCTTGCGTGTTGCATAAATGTTGAAAAATAAGATTTCACTTACCAAAAACACGCTCAATTGGCAGCATCATGCAAGTGAAACAATGCGCAGAGTCTTGCATTGAAATAAATTCTACAGTAATTATATTGAAGTACTTGGAATCACGTATGTGTTTATATTTATATAAAGATAAATACTTTCGTCGAACGAAATTGTGCAATCAAGAGGAAATTTTATTTGAAATAAGAAAAAGCTTCAATTAAATTAATATCTATCATAAATACAAAAGATTTCTTAGAATAAATTGATTTCGAACGGTCATTTTGTATGGCAGCCACATGCTATAGTGATCCGATCTCAACTATTTCTTCGGAGATTGTTTTATTGCCTATGAAATATGTCGTGTTAACATCTTGCCCAATGAAAAACTTTTACAAATACAAGCATTTGATTTCGATCGTTCAGTTTGTAGAGCAGGTATATTCTATAGTGGTCTAATATCGGCCGTTCCGAAAAATGAATAAGTTCCTGGTAGATATCTCAAAAACTGAGGTGACTCATCAGACGGATCATTCATATACATTATGACAAAAAGCACACACAAGTTGTATGTAAATTTCCTGCCTAAATAATATGAATTTCTCTCCTTAATTAATGTGCCAAATATGAACGATATTTGTCAACCAGTTTGTTTACAGCAGCTGCTTAAATCGGTACACCTCAGCACAATCGGTACAATAGATAAAAATATCGGACAACGAATTTGTATCAAATTTTGTATTTCTCATCAAATTTTGTATTTCTCACCAAATTTTGTGTGCGGAATCATTGCGAATACGTTGAGTCAGTTTTATTAAAAACACAAGCCTACGAGTGGTACAAAGCCTTCAATGATGATCAAGAGATCGTTGAAGACATGCCTCGTTCGACCTATTCAAGGCAAGTATTAGAGAGATGACAAGAGAGCTCAACAGCTCTCGCGATATTTTGGCTCTGAAACGCATTTTTGCTYGACTCGTCCCGATGAGGCTGAATTTTTTCTCAAACAGAGTACCGTAAASAGGTCTCTTTAGACATGTTAGATCGTGCGAATTYCGATYCCACAAAGAGATCATTATAACTTTCGATGAGACATGGATTTATGAACTTGATATGCTAATCGGATAATTTGATCAGAAAGGTGCTTAATATGAAACCTCTTAAAACAACTATAGGTACTGGTGTCCAAATATTCGGCACTTATGGGCTTGTACAGTTTTTGGTGGATTTGGACAACTGGCCATAAGATGGCATACTCTATTCGTGCAAAWCTTTCGAAAGGGAGAAAGGAAGAATGAGATGAAATTCAAAAAATGTCGGTAGAGGGATGGATGGACGGACGGATAAACGAACGGACAGACAGAAAACACCCAGATTTTAAATTTTCTCCTTATCCTGATCATTTATATACACATACAATAATATATAACCCTATAACTCGATTAAATTTTGGTGATACGTACGTACAGCCTTTAGGTAAAAAAAAAAAATATCAAAATTTAAAAATTTTAAAACAAAAAACTGTAAAAATGCAAAAATCTATTGAGCGTTTAGTATTAAAGTAAATTATCATTTTCAATCGAAAAAAAATTATTTTGAACCAATATGCTGAAAAATGTTAAAATTCCAAAACAAAA